TTGATCGGCTCCCCCACCGCGGGACAGCTCCCGGTCCGTGTCCCCAGCCCGGAGGCCCTGTTGCGGCCCGGCCAGTCCTCTGGAGCCTGAGTGCAGTGCCTTTTCCGCTGTCACACACCCACTGCCATCTCCCCGGCCCGTCCTTGACTTGGCAGCTCTGCCTTGGCGCTGCTCTGTCGAGATTTGGCCACACTGAGATCCCCTCCAGGGCAGGCTGTCTGGGCCCCAGGGCGTGGGTTTCACGGGCCTTGCTTCCTCCTGGGTGCCCGCCCTAGTTAACCAGCACCAGGCGCCTCTAGGGCCTGACCGCGGGGCCTCTGGGGGGCGAGATCCTGGGGGCTTTGCTGTCGTCGGTGCACGTGCTGACGACTCACTGGCCAGCAGCCTGTTTCTCTGTAAAACTGGACGATAAGACCTTCCTTAGGGGTCTTTGGGGATGTCAGAATCCTGGAGTCGGGGTGCTGGGCCCTTCTCTGACCTGCCTTAGGCGCTTTCTGTGTGAGCCCCTCTGTCCAGGGGTGGGGTAGGTTGTTTGCAGGTTTGGGGAAGGGGGCTCAGGCAGCCCCCCTTCTCCTCACAAGAAACCCTGCGAGTGGCCGCTTTCTGTTGAAACTCTCAGGAACCCCCTTGTGGGCTTGAGCCAGCGACCCCAGGAGGATGGCAACCAGAGTGCCCACCCACGCCTGCCCCGTCTGCCTGGCTGCCCCATACTCAGTGGTCCCTGCACCCTGGCTCTCTTGTAGGCAGACATGGCGGAGTTCTTCCAGAAACGGGGGAAGCGGCACGACGACGACATGCTGGGCAGTGCTGTGAACTTCCTCCTGGCCAATGCCCGCCTGGTGCTGGGTGTGGGCGGGGCTGCCGTGCTGGGTATTGCCACCCTGGCTGTGAAGCGGGTAAGGCCATGGTGGACCAGTGACACCCGGGGCTCCCAGAGGAGGATCACAGGGCTGGGGCCTGCAGCGGGGCCCTGGGAGGGGCTGGGGACTGCCCACGGCTGGCGTCTGCTTCTCTACCCAGCAAGCTTGTTGGCTTTGCCCTGGGCTGTGCTGTGCTGCCCAGGCTTCAGGTGCGCTGACCTGTGCACTCTTCCTGCAGCTCATCGACAGGGCTGCCAGCTCGCAGGACGAGGATGACGCCAAGGCAGACGCCACGAGCCTGGAGGACAGCTGGAAGGAACTGAGCCTGCTCAAGGCCCCGCCACGCCCACAGCCCCGGCCCTCACTTGCTGCCCCCAGCCAGCCTGTGCTGCTCCCAGTCCCCTCACTTTTTGCCCCAGGTGAATGGCACCCCTTCCCCTCTAACCTGGTGGGTCCCCCTTTGGTGGTCACACTCAGGAGATGCAGCCCAGGCTCTGCCACTGACCGACTGTGCCCTGTGCAAGCCCCTCTCCCTCCAGGGGTGTGGGCTCCCTGCATGTTCCATGGTGTGTTTTTCTGCCCTTCGGTCAACCACTGGGACATGTGGACTTTGGGGGTGATATCGCAGTAGGGCAGTAGCCTTCTGATATGGGGGCCTCAGGTCAGGAAACCGAGGTCCAGGACCGCACTGCACTCTGCATGAGCTGTTTTGGCCCCAAAGAGTTGGGGAGCTGGGGCAATGAGAGATTGTCATCAAAGTAGTCCTTCTGCGTGAGGACCTGAGCGGGTGCTCTCTCTCAGCTGGTTCTCCTACAGGTGAGGGGGTGAGGCCCAGGGCCAGGACACACCTGGTAGCCTGGGGGAGGTTTCGTGGCTCGTCACAGGGCCTTCTGACATGTTCCCTGGCCCTTTCACTCTGCAGAGGGGCCTGCAGGTGCTGACCCTCAGTCGTCTCCTCAGCTTGCCTCCCCAGGACTCTTGTGCCTGACATTCCAGGAGAAGCTGTTGGCGTTCGAGCGAGACCACGTGAGCATCCCAGTGTCCCACGTGGCTCTGGCCAAACAGTTGGCTGGCGACATTGCCCTAGAGCTGCAGGCCTATTTGCGGAGCAAGTTCTCAGAACTGCCCTTTGGGGTGCTTGTGCCCGGGGGGCCGCTTTATGATGGCTTGCAGGCAGGGGCTGCTGACGATGTGCGTCTCCTGGTACCTCTGGTGCTGGAGCCGGGTCTGTGGAGCCTGGTACCTGGCATGGACACTGTGGCCAGGGACCCTCGCTGCTGGGCTGTGCGTAGGACTCAGCTTGAATTCTGTCCCCGCGGAAGCAGCCCCTGGGACCGCTTCCTGGTGGGTGGCTACCTCTCTTCCCGTGTCCTGCTGGAGCTGTTTCGCAAGGTACTGGCCGCCTCCATCAACTGGCCAGTCATTGGCAGCCTCCTCGGGTGCTTGATCTGGCCCAGCGTGGCTTCCGAGGAGCTGCTGCTTGAGGTGCAGCATGAGCGCCTGGAGCTCACTGTTGCTGTGCTCCTGGCCATCACTGGCGCCAGCGCTGAAGACCGGCTCCTGGTGGCCTGGCCCCTGGAGGGGCCGGCTGGGAACCTCTGGCTGCAGGATCTGTACCCGGCGGAGGCTGCCAGGCTGCGAGCTCTGGATGGCTGTGAGGTTGGGACCCGCCGGCGGCTGCTGCTGCTACTGTGTCGTGTCTGCCGCGGCCATCCGGCCCTGAGGCAGCTGAGCCGGGGCCACCTGACCCAGGTGGTTCTACGTCTGGGAGAGGAGGAGGTGGACTGGGCCGAGGAGGCCTTGGGGGAGCGCTTTCTGCAGGCTGTGGAGCTGCTCATCGGCAGCCTGGAGCGGGCCAGCCTGCCCTGCCATTTCAACCCTGGTGTGAATCTCTTCGCCAGCCTGTGCCAGGAGGAGATCGACAACCTTGGCTACGTGCTGTACCTCGGCCTCCAGGCCCCCGAGGGGCTGCTGTAGATGGGGCAGGGCAGGCTGCGTGTGTTCTGATGCTGGTGAGCTGCGCGCTTCTCCCAGGGATCTGGAGAGCATCCTTTCTCTTGCTTTCAGCCAGGATAAAAAAGGGTGCGTTGGCTAAGGCCAGGGGATTAGCATGTGCATAGGCAGCCATCACTGGGACCCTCTGAGCTCAGAGCGCTTGGGCTGCACTGCCTCTCAGGCAGCCTGGAATGCCAGCCACTCACACCCACTCCCTTAGTCCTCTGGGCCGACCCCAGGACCTTGGGCCTGGTCCATCATCACCAGCAGAGGATCCCCTGACAGCAGATGGCGCTGCTGTGCTAGCCAGGGGCTAAGGCCAGCTCTGTCATTCTGTTGAGGGTGAGTTGGTGCTTTCCTTGGGTGCCAGCTCCCTGCATCTCTAGGGTCTGGTGCAGGATGGTAAATGCCAGGTGTGTGTTCATCCCCCATGGGCCGGAGTCCCCTGGCACCCGTGGAATGGAACGCAGCTCTTTGGCTGATGTAGTTTCCTGATGTCGTCTGTGGTCTAGTTTGCTTGTTGAACTCTCCTCCAGCCGGGAGTGGGGGCTCAGCCTGGGGTGCTGCCCACCTCACACCTATGAAGGCCCTTTCCCCTCCATCTGGCGAGTTTTCTCTTTGGCAGTTGGAGGGCCCTGCGAGAGCCCCTGCCCCACGGGGGAGCCAGCGCTCTGTGCTGCCTGCCTTGCCCAGAGCCAAGAGTGTCTCGCTAGCTGCTATTGGGCCCAGCCAGAGAGCCGAGGCCGGGCCCTCCGGGGGAGGCCTGCGGTGCAGGTTGGCCTGGGCAGTGCCACATGGTCAGCTCAGCTGACTCCTGCGTTCTCCCTGCAGCCTGGCGGAGGTCAGGGATAGGAAAGGGAGGGCCTACCTCCCCTTCCCTGTGGTCCTCCTACCTTGGGTATCCTTCTTGCTGAAGCCGAGCTATGCCTCAAAGAATGTAAACAAGAATAAAAGAGAAAACAAGCCTTCGTGTGACTCATGCTGTCTCATAAGCAGCTGGTTGGAGTTCTGGAAGCTGGGCCAGAGGGGCTGGGAATGGACCTGGAGGGGTGATACGGAGGGAGGTGACAAGGTTGCTGTGTGATGCCTTGCTTTTGTAATGGGAACCAAAGCCTGTTTCTTCCCAAAGCCTGAGTTTTTTATTCAAAGCCCCTGTGCTTTCGGGATTGTGCCAGGCTCTGGGCTAACGCTCCCACCGGCACTTCCTCCAGCTGCAGCTGCCTCTCGCCAGGAGTGACAGAGAAATGCGACTTCTCTACCTCCCTGTCCAGACGGGGAGCGAGTGCGTCAGGGTCCCCATTGCTGGGGGTTGCTTCCCGTGTCAGCAGATGACAGACGAGGGCCTGTGTCCTTAGGGTGTGGCCACCACAGCTATGCTTCTCCCCTCGTCTCCGCATCCCAGTGTACTTCCTGGGGTAGTCATCCAAGGGCTGCCACATGGGATAGGATCCTGGGCTGCCTCTGGAGGTTCTGATGGCTGCACTCAGGCTATGGCAAGGGTCAAAGGTCAAGAGACTGGCTTAGCTGAGGGCCATTCAGATAACTTGTCTCAGGAGCTGGTGCAAAGAGCCTTAAGCAGCTGTAATGGCAGCCTAGGGGTGGCCAGGGAACAGGCTGGAGGCAGAGGCTGTGCGTTGGGATTCTCATCATAACACCTATGTCCTAGGGTGGCTGCAAGGAGCCTGGCACAAAATGAAGTGCTTCCCCAAACCAGAGACTGCTGGGCCTTCGTGCCTCGCTCACAGCCCAAGCACAAGGGTGCCTCCGCCACCAGGCTGCCTTTGACCGTGGCGGGCTCCTGGGACAACTGGTGTCCTGCTGAGGGCTGGCCTGGGCGTGGCTGGGGCGGCGGTTCAGAGTCCCTCTTAGATGACCGAACCCCACGTGTGGTCCCCTCTGGGGAGGCCTCCTGCTTGAGGTAGCTCTGAATTAACCCTCACGCACCGTAATTTCAGTAAGACGGGTGAATTAAAAGAGAAATGAGGTGTTTGTGGTTACATCACCAATACACGGTTAACATCTGGGACTTGAGTTTCTAGCCGAGAACTGGAAACAAATCACCATTTTGCTAGAAGCCTTTGCAGGAGCTTGTGTCTGGCAGGCTCAGTCCTGGTCTGCGCCAGCAGCAGGGATTGTTGCTACCGTTGCACAGATTCCCTCTGACGCAAGGACAGTTCCAGCTCTGCGCCAGGTGCGTCTCAGTCTGAACGTCGCGTACTCAGATCTCCACTGTGGTGGGCAGCCTGGCAGCCCGCGTCCTGGCCTGGTTTAGCGTTACCCAGGGCCGAGGCCCGCACCTGCTCAGAATGAAAGTCATGGAAATGGCCAACAGGAGCTCACGGATTTAAAATGTTACCGCGTAACTCAGGGATAATCTTCCTGCATGGGAAACCTTTCCTTGTACTTCACTCCTGAGAATGTCTCCTCAGAAACACTTAGCTGCTAAGAACAGCAACAGAACACTTAGCCGCACAACATCCTATCTGCTGGAGCAGTGGTTCTCAACCTTCTGGCCCTTTACAGTTCCTCATGTTGTGACCCAACCATAAGATTATTTTCGTTGCTACTTCATAACTGTAATGTTGCTACTGTTATGAATCGTCATGTAAATATCTGATATGCAGGATGGTCTTAGGCGACCCCTGTGAAAGGGTCGTTCGACCGCCAAAGGGGTCGCGACCCACAGGTTGAGAACCGCTGTGCTGGAGGAACAGCCATCCTCGAGGTGACCTGCCCGGTTGTTCCGGCCGTAAGCCCTGAAGGTCTGTGCGCACATGGGCTTCCTCATTAGGAGATTCCTGGGCATGGAAAGCATTCAAACTTGTTCAGATCCTGACGGATCTTAATTTTTAAAAATGTATTTTTATTGATTTCAAGAGGAAGGGAGAGAGGGATATAAACATCAGTGATGAGAGAGAATCATGGATCAGCTGCCTCCGGCACGTCCCCTACTGGGACTAGAGCCTGAAACCCAGGCATGTGCCCAGACGGGGAATAGAATTGTGACCTCCTGTCTCATGGGTTGACGCTGAACCACTGAGCCACACTGGCTGGGCAGATCCTGAAGGATCTTGCCAAACTGCATTTGAAAGGACTTCAGCCAGCAGCCCAGAAAACCACCCCGACGCCTGAGCTGTGCCTGGCCAGAGCGGGGCAGACAGGGAAAGTGGCTGCTTCCGTAGACAGAAGCGTGCGACCGACCGCTACACCAGCATCAACCTTCACTGCACGTCCCACACCCTCCTCCTCTCCTTTCGTGAGATCTTACTTGGAGTGGAAAATGGAAGTGCGATTCCTATTCCCACCACCGATGCCTGTGTCCCTGGCTCCCATCTTCCTGGTCTGCGCTGAGGAAAAATGAAGCCAATTCAGTGGCAGCTCAGGAACCCCTGGTTCAAAGACCTTAGCAGGCTCGAATGTACCTTCAGCACAACTGCCTCTGAGCTAACGTGCAAGCCACACCAGGAAAGCACTTCCTGCCTTTTGGTTCCAGATGGGCCTTTGAGACCTTAGCACTTAGCTGGCTGTGAGGCCAGGCTTGGAGCCTGGGGGAGCAGACACTGAGCCTGCAGTGGCTCTAGAGCAGGTATTAGCTCCTCCAAGTATGGGAAGGGCTCTATGCCCAGGGTCAGGGGGTTAGGGTCAGGCACACCCCAAAGCCCATAATCTAGGGCTACTGCTCCACTTTTGCCCTGTTCTAAAACAAGGGGCTTCAACCTGGTACATGACACATTTGCATTTTTCAAAAAAAAAAAATATATATATATACACACACACACACACACTAGTGTCCTGGTGCACAGATTTGTGCACATTGAAAAGAAATTAATTAGAAGAAATATTTTAATATCGCTATTTGCCCTTTCTCTATAATAGAAGTATCAACCAAATTCTCAATTGACAAGGACAGATCGAAACACATGCCTGTGATTGGCGTCAGTGAGAGCGTTATATGTATCACACATGCGCGAGTCAACTTGGCCTTTTATATATATAGAATAAACTTGCTTAATTAGACCTGCTTTCTGATTTAGCTAAACTTTTTCCAGCCCAGTGAAGCACCCCAACTTCTCTTTCAGGTAATTGTCAGCAACACAGCAGTAAATATCAACACGAAGCAGATTATTATTGTAGATCACGCAGGGAGAATAAAGGGTAAAATAATGTAACTGCAGCAGTGTTTGACTATATTCTGCAGTGAGAAAACCTGAAGTCATTTTCAAGGTCCACCATTTCTTACGTCTTTTCAGTTGGGTCAAGTTTCTAAGCTTTCTAAATCTCCGTTTTCCGGCTAATGAAAAGAAAATAGGATTCCCTCGAGTCTCCTGTCTACCTACTCCAGGACTTCTGTGAGGATCAAATGAGATGAGGTATGGGAAAACACTTCACAAACATTTGGTTAAAGTGTGAAATGTTTGCACCTGGCTATAAAGCAAGTCGTGTTCCTGGGCTGAAGAAACTCCAAGAAGGCTAGTGGTTAGGGAGAGGAAGCTGGGCATTGCTACGTGATGTCATTACCCCTGCATTGAGCGTCTGCCCCCTGGTGGTCAGTGAGCATCATAGCTACCAACCGGACAGACACAGCCTTTTATATATATAGATTTTAAAAATATACTAGTATTTTTATTGATTTCCGAGAGGAAGAGAGAGGGAGAGGTAGAAACATCTATGATGAGAGAGAATCATTGATTGGCTGCCTCCTGCACACCCCCTACTGGGGATCGAGCCCACAACCCAGGCATGTGCCCTTGACTGGAATTGAACCTGGGACCCTTCAGTGCATAGGCTGACACTCTATCCACTGAGCCAAACCAGCTTGAGCAAAAAATATACTTATTTTCTAATCAGAAAAATAGGTTTTTTAAAACCCCAGTAACATCACAATTTGGTTGCACTTAATTCAATGAGGAAGCTAAGAGTGTAGTGGGTGACACCCAGAGTGTATTCCAAACGGCACTGAGGACGGTGTTTTGGGTCACCTCTGCAGTGCTGCCAATTTCCTGAGATAACAGTGTGGTTGGCTGGGGCCTCATGCAACAGGAAGGCCAGAATCTCAGACTCTTTCACTTGTGTGCTTTCAAACCAACCTCTCCAGGCAGCCCCCAGTGCCACCTCCGTGTGAACATGGGTAGTCTGAGGCAGGCATGGAGTGCACACATCTGTCCCCAGCAGGGATGGCCAATGGGAGGACGTGACTACCCTGGCATGCTCGTTGACCCCATGCCGCCCCTGTATTCCAGTCAGAGGTCCTTGGTCCCGAACAGCTGAAGTTCTGGGCTGCAACAGCCCTGGAAGGAAAGGCAGCTTCGAATTCACCCCAAAGGGTAGCAGACCTCCCAGTGCCCGAGCTGTTGCTGAAGCGAGTGCAGTGCTCAGAGAATGTCCGGCTGCCAGAGCTTATATTTTTAGCTTCCAGCTGCTCCAAGAGCAATGAGCATCCGAGACAGGCTCCCTCAACCAGCAGCAGCTGTGCGGTGCGGCCACTCTTGCTAGTTCTCAGACTGGGGCAAGAAGGGGTGCCACGGGGACGTGCAAGAGGCATCAGCCAGAGCGCCCCTTCTCTGCGGGCAGCGGTGGTCTGTGGCGTGCACAGTGCCTTCTCTAAGAGGGTAGCATGCAGGCGGAGACGGTTTCAGTCCTCTTCGCTGCTCAGAGGGGAAGAGCCTGTGTCCCTTGCAGTGGAGCTGGAGGCTGAGAAACGGCGCAATTAGGTGGCCTAGTTCCTAGTTGCGGCTCGTGGCTGGGGCTTAGTAAGTGGGGGTCATTTTATCCAGTCCTGCTTGTGCAAGCTGTAAATGGGGTTCAAACCTGTCAGTCAGAGGAAGGATCCACTTCCCAGTGCGCTGAATGCTGCTAGCCTGAGCCAAGAGACATGAGAAACTCCCTCACAGGCTTTTATTTTTATTTTTTTCCCTCACATGCTTTTATTTGTGAAGTTCTCACTGCAGTCAGGCCTGGATCCCCCACC